TCAAAACATCTGGGTATTCCATGGGCAACATCCTTGCAGACGGCCTCTTCTCTCACACCAGAAGTGACTTGCAATTTCTCAAGTCGCTCCTGACACGAAAAAAATGTGTTGTCAAGCTGCATTAATTCTACAGCACAAATGCAGTCCAAAACTCCATGAAAACTTTCTGTCCTGAGTCCATTCTCTCAATGTAAAAATCTGAACACATAATAGAGGGTCAAAATGTGCTCTTGTCCTGTTGCTGTTGCCAATTAAAAACCCAAGAGTGGAACAGGGTTGCAGGCAGAAGCTGTAACAAATGAGTGTATGATGGGGTTGCTAGACCCTCGGCTACTGCCTGGAGTTTTGGTGGATTGTTCCCAGGCAGCAGGTGAAGATTTAAACTTTCCAGTTGTCATGGAGTCAGTCAAGAGATAAGGCTGGATGCAACCTTTTGCTCAGGTAGGGAGCCTTCTGACTGGCTGGGCAGCTTGCTGTGCTTTGCAAAGGTTAATTGTTTTAAAGCCAGTGTTTCAATTTGCAAAGACATTTAATTTCCAACCAGGAAAATAGGTTCCAACTCTGCATGTATATTTTATGTTTGCACAACAAGCTGTGTGTGTCAGAGAGATTCTTGCTTAATACATAATGTGTGATGACAGCATTGGGCTCCATCCTCGTGACATCATCAGAGCCCATTCCTTGGTCTCATATTTTGAGATCAATAGGATCGTCTTGCTTCCTGTCTAAAGAAAGGCTCATATAATTGTGATTGCCTAATTGAGATTAATGGTTGCTTCACATGAGAATTAGCTAACATGCAACCTATGGGCAGCATTCAATCCCACACCCCCAGAAATCCTCCTGGCATTACTTCAGAGGAGAAATTCACTTAGTTTGATTCTCCTTTTAAACAAACTCTAACCTAGACCTAACTTAGGCATAAAGACTTCTGCAGATACGGACTGCAGCCAGGGAATCAGAAGATGTTTACTTCTTGGAAAGAAAGAAATGACCAATCTTGATAAAATGGTTAAGAGTACAGACATCACACAACAAAGGTCCACATAGTTAAACCAGTGATATTCCCCATAGCAACCTATGGATGTGAGAGCTGGGCCACAAGGAAGGTTGAGCGAAGGAAGAAAGATGCTTTTGAACTGTAGTGTTGGAGGAAAATACTTGGACTGCAAGAAGATTCAACCAGTCCGTACTTCAGAAAATAAAGCCCAACAGCTCACTGGAGGGAAGGATATTAGAGGCAAAGATGACATACTTTGGCCACAGAATGAGAAGACAGGAAAGCATGGAGAAAATAATGTTGCTGGGGGAAATTGAAGGAAAAAGGAAGAGGGGCTGATCAAGGTCAAGATGGATGGATGATATCCTTGAAGTGATTGGCTTGACCTTGAAGGAACTGGGGGTGGCGATGGTCAACAGGGAGCTCTGGCATGGTCTGGTCCATAACATCATGAAGAATCAGAAGCAACTGAATGAATAAACACATACAGACCTAACTTTGATCCTCCATCCTTTTCAAATGTTTCTAGGAAATCTGAAATTGGTTTCCAGATATCTTTGGTTTTGGAGGGAAATAGGTTAATGGTGAAGAAAAGCCCACCAAATAGAAGATGTACACTCTTAAGTCAAATTTCTTGTTAAGAGACCACGTTTATGAATGGATTGTGAGTTAGAGGAGATTCAACATAGACAAAAAGAGGATTTTTTTTAACATGGCATACAGTTAAACTATTGAACTTTCTTACACAAAATATAGCATAGCCCCAACAAAAGGTGATTGTAAGACAAGGAAGGGGAAGGCTCCTTCTTTGGAGGCTTTTAAGCAGAGGTTGGATGGCTATCTGTCAGAGGTGCTTTGAATGCGATTTTCCTGCTTCTTGGCAGAATGGGGTTGGACCGGATGGCCCACGAGGTCTCTTCCAACTCAAGGATCCTATGATTCTATTATTCTAAAAGTACCTACAAAGATCTAAACATACAGCAAACTGACCAATTGCTTTCCTTGGAAATTTCTGGTGGGCACAACTGATCAATGAAGTGCGGAGATTAGGTGCAGTTCTCCAAGCTGCCAGGAACACATTTTCAACTATTTCCTTCCCAGATATTGTTAATACTCTCCCCATCCATAAATGTATTATGTATTCCTAGGTATTATGAATATATGACTTTTCAAAATGCTGTCAGCCACTCAAAAGAAAGCATTGTGATGGCAATAACAAGTATTCTTTACTATATATTTTGATCCACAGGTTCTCCTCCTATTAGTGAGTTCAAATTGCCACTTTTTATCTCTCCTTGCTCTCATCCGGCTTTCTTCCAATTTTGGATTGTTGAATGATTACTTAAACAGGGGGACAGATGTGGGAAATGGATAAGAAGACCGAAGAGAAAGAGAAAAGAGCTGCCACTAAAATATATCCCCAGATTAAATCTGAAACAGATTTGGGGATGCTTCTCTAGGTTAATAGTCTAAGGAGGTTCAGAGAAAGGTGACAGAGTTTGTGTAAGACTTACTAAAATCTGCCTAAGGGGGTTGGGATGGTTATATTTATTTCAGAATTTAATCAGATTTTGTGTTGTCGAAGGCTTTCATGGCTGGAATCACTGGGTTGCTGTGAGTTTTCCAAGCTGTATGGCTATGTTCCAGAAGCGTTCTCTCCTGATGTTTTGCCCACATCCAGCAGGCATCCTCAGAGGTTGAGGGGCTGTTGGAAACTAGGCAAGTGAGGTTTCTGTATCTGTGGAATATATTTCTCCCAATCTGGACATTTCCACAGATATATAAACCTCACTTGCTAGTTTCCAACAGACCTCACAACCTCTGAGGATGCCTGCCACATAGAAGTGAATTTCTCAGATGGTTATTGTAGGTTTTTTGGGCTATATGGCCATGTTCTAGAGGCATTTTCTCCTGACGTTTCGCCTGCATCTATGGCAAGCATCCTCAGAGGTAGTGAGGTGGCCATACAGCCTAGAAAACTCACAGCAACCCAGGAACCAGATTTTGTCTGACAACATCAATTTCTTCTTAGGCATTTGGTGTGGTCAATCTTGGTCATTGTGAATTCTGCATCCACAGATTCAACCATCCGTGGCTTGAAAAGAAAAGAAATTCCCAAAGAGAAAATTTTTCTATGCCATTGTATATAATGAGACTTTGATACTCATGGATTTCGATATCGACAGGGGTCCTGGAACCAAACATGAGTAGATACTAAAAGCCCACTGAATAAAAAGATATATGAATACAATCAGGACATGCAATTAAACATCACAATGCAAATTGTTCCTGTTTAAGACTGCAACCAGCTGGTCATCCATTGCCCTCTCCAAGTATACTCCATTCCACACGTCCTTCTCTCTTTAATTTCCTTCTCCTTTTCTTCTTTATCTTCCAAAATTCAGTCAGGCACTCTTTGGTCACTGAGCTTGCTCAGTCCCCATTATGCTTCCTGCTTCTATCCTTTAGGACCCCTGCCTCTTGTAATTCTGTAAATCTGTGAATTCCCTCAAGACTTAGGATATCTCCCTGTTGTGTTCAGGCTACATAGATCCATACTCAAAGAATAAGATTGGTACTGGCCAACAGTCCAAATACACCCTAATTATAAGTTGGTAAATGGAGAGGTAAACAAAAATGGTTATTTTTCCAACAAACAAAAATACCAGCACACTTGTGGCATAATTATTTTTTAAATTATTATTCTGTGAAAATGTTGTGCCATAAAGTACCCTTTAAGGTGAATTGCATGGTGTCTATCATGACTTCTTGCACTCTCCCATTAGTGGAACCATAACTGGTCCATAAGTAGGAGCCCCCGGTGGCACAGTCAGTTAAACCACTGAACTGCTGAACTTGCTGACCGAAAGGTTGCAGGTTTGAATCCTGGGAGTGGTGTGAGCTCCTGTTGTTAGCCCCAACTTCTGCCAACCTAGCAACTTGAAAACATGCAAATGTGAGTAGATCAATAGGTACCTCTCTGTCGGGAAGTAACGGCACTCCATGTAGTCATGCCGGCTACATGACCTTGTAGGTGTCTATGGACAACGCTAGCTCTTTGGTCTAGAAATGGAGATGAGCACCAACCCCCAGAGTTGGACACGACTGGACTTAATGTCAGGGGAAAACCTTTACCTTTATCTTTACTCAATGCCTTTGTAGGCTAAACTAAAAATCTGTTGTAATTTGGCTAAAGTTGGTGAAACTCCATATATTTTTTAGTGATGACCACACAGCTAAGTGCTGGTGGTATATTTTAGTGTTAGCAAACTGGAGCCACATCTGATAAAGAACATTGGCTGTTTCAGTCTGTGCTAAAATAAATAGGAACTTTAAGTAACTGCCTTGCCGTTGAGAAATCCAACACAAGGAGCTGTCTCCATTTATTCTCATTAGTTGTTCTAGGACCGTTTCACTCTGTAAGGACTATTTGGTCTTTTGTTTGGACTTTATCTAAGATTCCTTTCCCTAACTCCTTTTTGAACACATCACAAAGTTCACAAAGTACTTTTTGTGATCCGAAGGCAAACAGCTAACTTCTCAGTGAGAGAAATGAAAAAGAAAGAAAACAGTTCTCTATATGGAATCCCAATGAAAATGCCAGGTTCTAAAAAAGAACCAACAACCAACACCACCAACATTTTTTATCAGATGGAATATAGAAAACCTTCAATTAAGCCAACTATACTTTGGCACACAAACTCTGCAGTTTCAGTTGTGTTGAAGTAACTGTGTTTCAGAAAGAATGTTGAGCACTTTCATATAAATTACTGGAGAAACATCCAGGAAAAAAAGTTGGCCGAGCTAGTCTTTGCTCATTTCAAAATGCTTTTGAGGAAGGGGCGAGCAGGTCAAACATTGTTTCTGGAGGAGTTGAGCATCCCTTTTAGAAGGCCGTCATCACTGTCCAGATGTTTTAGGAGCTCTTTCCCCTGCAAACCAGAGCCTGCTATGTAACTTGGCAACATGTCTTTGCTTGCTTTTCCCTCCCTTTACTCACAGTTCGGTGGAATTCCTGGGGATGTCCTTTGGCACGGAGGTCACCTTGTTCTCCTGGCAGATGAAGGCCATCCTGTTTGAGCATTGGCAGAGCGGATGTTGGCAACCTGAACAAATCCCTGAGGGAAGCAGCAACAGCAGGAGGCAAAGGTAAACCAGAGCCATCCTTGCCTTCACATTGCCCTCTAGTCTGTCCACTGAATGGCAAACTCCTCCTTGCTTCACACTCACATTCTCTCACTTCTCTGAAGCCACGCCTTAGAGGCCTGTGGAGAGTTACGTGAAGTCCAAGGAAAAGATCCTCTGTTTCATTGCTTCTCACACACATGGGTGTGTGTGTGTGTGTGTGGCAACATTTTCCACTCCATTGTGCCAAGGAACAACACTATGTTTATACCCACTGGGTACAGATGTTTTCTTCTTTTCTTCAAACTTGCCAGTAACCAGTGGCTGACTTTGGAGGCTTTTAAACAGAGGCTGGATGGCCATCTGTTAGGGGTGCTTTGAATGTGATTTTCCTGCTTCTTGGCAGGGGGTTGGATTGGATGGTCCATGAGGTCTCTTCCAACTCTATGATTCTATGACTAGCACCAGTCCAGAGTAGCATTGCTCCATATGGACTATACCAGGCATGGACAAACTTTGGCCCTCTGGGTATTTTGTACTTCAACTCCCAAATTCCTATCAGCCTACTGGCTGTTAGGAATTGTGAGGGTTGAAGTCCAAAACACCCAGATGGCCAAAGTTTTCCTATGCCTGAGCTATACTCTGCCAGGGTCACTCAGACTATATGGAAACAAGGAGCAGGGGGAAAAATGAGGGCATTGCCTCTCCAAACCCAAAATTCTGCCTTTTGGTAAAAGTTCTCTTCAGTGCCAAAATTTCTATCATTACACTGAGACACTGAAAATCATCTTTACCTAGAATTCTTACATCTGCAATGTTTGCATATGCAATGTAACATAGCCTGCCCTTATCTTTGGATACTTAAACTGTAATATTTATGGCTCAAATATTAAATTATTGTAATTATAGCAATTTGGAGAGTTAAGGAAAATTTCACTGAGTTGGGAGGGAAAATTCTTTTTGGGAGGGATAATACCTTAAGTGCACCTTCCCCTCCCAATTGCTACACTCTTGTGATGAAGTGATGATGCATTTGATGCCAATAAACATTTACATGCAACATAGGATGGAGTCAGAAAAAAGGGCTATGGATGATGCTTTAGGTGATGAAAACGGTGGTACTTTTAAGAGGCTAAGGAGAGAAAGGCAAGGTGGAGCTTGCCACGAAACTGGTGCCTTGCTTGTCAGTGGAGTTGACCCCAACCTCAAAATAAATCCAGCACTTTGGATAGCTCCTTCAAAGTTCACACTGACATGTAGATAAATTCCAATCCTTGCTGACATGGAGCTCACCAGCAGCTTCAGGAGTGTTTTGGAAAGTGTTTTGGGGAGTGTTGACTTCTTTTTATGTGAATGTATGAAACTGCCTTATACTAACTCAGTCAGTTGGTTATTTTAGACCAGTATTTCCCAACCTGCATCCTTCAGATGTGTTGGATTAGAACTCTCAATACCCACACCATCATGACCTTATCTAGACAGTACTAGACATTTCTTAACATTTCAAGCAGAAGATCTTATGCTCTTCACCCATTGCATGAAATCCTTTGAAATGACACATGCCATGCTTTATCCATGTTCACTATCCACTATATCATACAGGTTTAGTTCATAAAGTTTAATCAAACACAGTTAAACATCCACAACAAGTATACCATCATAAAATGAGAAACCAGTTAAAACAAATACATCAATAAAGATATATAGTGCATCTTGTACAAGGCCTGATTTCCCGGAGGCTCCATCTGCACTGTCATATAACCCAGTTTCTGAATCCAGATTGTCTGATTTGAACTGGATTATATGGCAGTGTAGACCTGCATAATCCAGTTCAAAGGTAATATTCAGGATTCAGAAACTGGATTATATGGCAGTGTACATCCAGCCTGAAACATCAATTCTCAAAGGACTACTTGAATAAAAAGGTTTTTATCTGTTTGCATTAGTGTGAATGCGAGCCTGGCTTGAACTCTTCTTCTTGACATATTGATTTAATTCTGCAAGCAATATCTATGTGGTGTTTGGATTCACATTCAATTACATAACAATTGTATCTTGTCTCTTTATTTGCAGCCTTATCATATAGGGCAATTGAAGTGTCCTAGGATGCTTTTGACCCGGTTCACCCATGGAGCCCCATGCCGTTCCTCAAACAATGTAGGTTGACTTTCAGTGGAGCTCCATAGGAAAACTGGAATCTGCCCCATGTTCCATAAGGAACAATGGGGCTTTGGCAGAGCAGCAATGCTTCCCCACAAGGGATGGAGAAATGTCAGCTGGCAGCTGGGGCACTGGTATTGACCTGCTGCCACCATAATTCACCACGAAGGCTGGTGAATCATGACAATGGACCTCACCCATGTGATGAGGTCCTTAGGTATTTCGCTGCAGCTTTCATCCACTTACAAACAAACAGACAGGCAGACAAACCAAAAGAACTCACAGCAGCTAACAACATACCTAAATTCAGAGTTAATAATAAGAGCATTTACTCCATCCTTTGAAACAAATCCAACTATAAACCATCAAAATCAATAATCAGTAACAATCAAAACAGTGAAAAGAGTCAGTTGAAAGAGGCATGCCCTCACACCTTTGGAGAGTGAAATATGATCACAATACAGAAAGGAGTCCATTTCACAATTTGTAATTGAGAGAGATCTTTGGTGGCCCATTGAACACTTCCAGAAAAGCCTCCATAAATATCCTTGGAAGGGATGCTTCCTGTCATTCATTTCAGAGCTTGCCAAGTCTTTCAGTAGTGTATATAAACAAACAACAAAACGCTGGACTGCCTGCCTTGTTTTCTCTGACCTGAAAGCAGTCTAATTGCAACAAGACAAAGAAAGATCACTTTCAGTGAATGCGCTTTTGGGGTTGCTTAGGTGCTAAGAATGGCTCTGTAGTTGAGGTTTGATCTGTAACAATGTTGGAATGAAGCCTCTGGTTGAGTGGAGAGAATGGGAAACTCCAGAGAGTTGTGATGTGATGGAAACAGACAGACATTAAATCAATATGTAATATTTCACCAAGACTGAAATGGCAATGGAGAAGGTTATCTGATTTAGGAGAACATTTTCTCCCCGGTGTTTCTGCTCAAGAAGGGGCTAGCTGACATCTTATTTTGTTTTGTTTTGTTTAGCCATGTTAAGATAGATGCTTATCTTCAATGTTGCAAGCAAATGCACAATGACATAACCAAACATATGGGTAGTTGAACACACACAGACAGACACACACACACACACACACACAAGTATTGCTACTGAATGGTGGCAAGTAGCCTCCATGCAAAGGTTAAGGAAATAGTTCCTATGAATAAAAAATGCTCCATGGGGGGACTATCTGTTGTATATCTCCATGATACTTTTCCTTCCACTGTTATACCAGGCTGGCTTTGCATTAGGCAGAGTGAGGTAGTTGCCTCAGGCATGAATAGCCTGTCACCGGTTAGCAATGACTGCATACTGCAGATATGTTTATTGGGGTTTTTGAACTAGATATCAAAATAACTTGACCACACTTGCATATAACGACATTAGTAATGATTTGGGAGATTATGATGATTTAAACTTCTGTTTTAAGAATCAAGGAGGAGTTGTGGCTTCCATGTCATTGTGGTGATGGATACATTTTGGCTTTCATTTTGAACTTCAAAGAACTTCTGGGGATAGGATTCAGCACCTTAGATAGTTCCTTAGAGTTGGAGTTAAAACCAGGAATGTATTTGCTTCACTACAGGTATGGACCTCATGAGCCTATTCTGCTATTCATGTTAAATAACTTTTATATCCAATTTTTTATTTTTAAAAGACCACAGTCTCCTTTCCATTGTGGCATGATATAATTACCTTCTTTGATTTTGTACAGTACGCATTTCAAAATGGATTCAGAGCCATTTTCCTTTGATTAATTATTATTTGAGGGGATGCCTAATACTGGGAACTTCAAAGGACTTCTTGTGGCTCTTGAGGGGCAGAGAATCATACAAGTAATTGGAGAGGGGACTCCTATGACCCATAGGTTACATATTGCCCAACTGTGCCATTGGTCTTCAACAGACAATGGATTGTTCTTCTTTGGGCAAGGTATAGAGAATGTTGCTATCGATTCTTGCTTAAGGAAATTCTTTTGTCTTGGTTTACACAACTTGGGGGCTACAAACAATCCATTGTGCAAGGGAGGAGGGGACAAGTCCTATGCGACATGATGCACTGCAAGGATTTCAACAGTACTTAGATGAAAGAAAGTTTCATATAAACACAAAGATTGATTTTTTTTATCCTGCTGACAACTAGCAGTGTAATTATTTTTCAAATGAAGCAATAAGCAATCATAGCATTTTTCCTCCTCGCAAGTCTTTGAAAATCATACAGTTTTTGAAGGGTTTGGGTTTTTTTGCAACCTGGAATGTATTCTGCACTAAATGTACACATGGTTTTTTGTACAGAAAACATTTCTGGCCAGAAACAAATATTTTCTGAGTAGAAAATTCTGCTTTCTTTACAGAAAGTGATTTTTCCCCCATGCAAACCATCTACACATTCATTTTCTTTAGGATAAGTCCCTGATCACAGTCTTCTCTTTGCATGAAACTTTTTTTTCCTGTGCAAAAAAGAAAATGCTGCTTTTTAAAGCAAAACAACAATTTGTGAATTTTGTGCAGAAAATTTTTCAAGCTGCAAAGATTGTCAGTTTTAAACAGGATTTCATTGACACTAAAAAGGTTTTTAATAATTAACAATATCTTCAAATATTCTTTCCCTCCCTAACCATGACCTCTCTGGAATTCAGAAGTCTTCCTGTTGGGAGTACACCTCTACTCATCTATATGGTAGTCCCAATTCTGCTCTGGATTTTGCCTCCATAAAACCAGGATTTTATCTCAATTGGATTTCTGCACAAACTTAAGTATTAATCTCCTCCCCTGCTTCATGTTATACATTTCAAAAGTACTCTGCAATGAGCAAGTCTTCCTACATTTTCTAATTTCTTGACCCCTAACCCCAACAGCTTTGGAGAAGGGAAACAGCACTGTATGAAAGAAAGG